AACACAGTCTTCAAGTTTTATATATTTTTTTTACTATTTGGTGCCTTTTTTCTCCTTTATGAAAACATAAGGCAAACAAAACATACAAAATCCTTTTGATATATAAATAGTAAATGTCCAGTAACGTCTCACCCCCAGGACACTCCCATCCCACTGAAGTTACTGCAGATTCTCACTCACTTTTTTCTATTTAATGTTGAAAATTGCTTAAGATATGGATTTGTTAAAAACACACCTAACTGCAACTATCTGTTGGAAAGATTTCTGGCATTCCTCAGCCAATGGAGGACCACAAAAACAAAAACAAAAAAAAATGGAAAGTTGCTGCCTGGCTTTGTCTCCACTCTAGCCTTCCTCATGCCCTTCAGGGCACCCAACTCTCCCTTGAGCAGATAGGTTACTTCAGTAGCTGAGGCACGTAATAATCAGGCACAAATCTTCAGTGGGCATGCAAAAAGGAAAAGAGGACATAGTGTGACTCAACTACTGTTTGCCATATACAGGACAACCATATGTGAGTATTTCATGAATTTAAGCAAGTTAGAGTCAAAAGAAAGGAGTCAAATGAGTTAATCACCCCAACTGACAGCAACCACTGACTTTTCAGTTGAGGCAAGGGTCTAAGGAGGCAAAAAAACCTTAAGGTTTATTATGACTAAACCAGACTAGAGAGCCCCAGTTTGCATGTCTTAGAGACACAGAATATCTGAAGGTAACAGTGCTACTGGCCCCAAAATGTTGCTTCAAAAGCTTCAGAGTAATTGCTCCATTGCAAGTTCAGTATTTACTGCTTGCACTTCAGGGACTTATCATAGCTATTTCATATTAACTTGAAAGATGAACAGTGATAATAATCTGAACCTTTCTAAGGAGGAAGTTGCACCTTTTTTTTTTTTTTTTAATGATGTTGTTAGCATCTTACAAGTTCTCACAATTTTCTGACAGGAAATTTCCACTCATCGAGTTCTCCTTTACATTGCAAAGACATAAATACATCCTTGAAACACTTTTTTTTTCTGGGTTTTTTTTTTTTGTTTTGCCCTCCTGCAATTCAAAACCTTCATCTGCTCCTCCCAACATAAACACCCACATTTAATCAAAAACAAGTTGAAGAAAGTCACACACTGAGACATCAGACTGCAGTTCATTTCACATAGGTCACAGATGTGCTGGCATCAGTCCTCTGTAGAGGGCTTCCCCAGATAGGTTTGTACCATCTCAGCCACATCTCTCTGAAAGTATGGCCTTCAACACCACTGAAATTTCCTAATTTCCATAACTGGAAAACCTTCACATTGTCTCAGAGAGCAGAAAGTACTTAAGACACAAAACCTTGCAGAAGGTGGATTCTAACTCTTTTTTATGACTGAAGTCATTCAGACAGAAGGGAAGCCAAGCAAGCAGTCTTCTTCCCTCAGGCACAGGAATTGCCAATTATTCTTCAAACAAGTTTTCAGCAATCAGAAGGTAATATGAGTTGGAAAAATCACTCTCCCACTAGAGCAATGATTGGCAAGGCAGCAAATTTGCTACAATCTCAAGTAATTAACATTACCTATCATTTCTACCTCAATCACAGAAAGTCTAGCTCTTTCTTGTAATACCTGCATAACATCTCCAAAGGGCTGCTGTCCTCCCAAAAGAGCTTCTATGCTCCCTAGACTGCCTCTTCTGGCTGCAAAATCCCAGAGAGCATCTTGTGAAACCAGAAACCCAGTGGAAGCTTTTCATCTTCCTGTAGGGTCCTGATAAAGGAGTTTGTTCACTCATTGATTCCTATCTGAGCCTTGCCAAGAATTCATAGGACCTTTAAGGCTGATAGACTGGTCATTTATCTGAGCAAAAATAAGATGGCCAGAGATGATGCCCATGGTCAACAAAGCAAATAGCAAAGCATAATATCCCAGTTGCCAGCCAGCTGCGTCCAGACATACCATTGATCAATGGTCTTCACATAAAGCAAAACTATTAAATATTTTCTACATTTTAAAATTGCTAATGTGGGTGCCAAGCTGGCGTAAGACACAAAAGTAGCTGCTGTTTATGGGTTATTATAAGTTTTATGAAATGTCTTTAGGCTGTACACTAATGGTTTCAAAAATTTATTTCTCCACTGCTAAGAACTGATAATTTTTTATACATTATTCAACAGGCGCTAGCTTTTTTTTTGTTTGTTACTCTCTTATTGTTATTTGCTATGGTCAATCTCATACCACAAGACTACCACTGTTCACATTAACAGTTGCAATAATAGAGTATGAATCATCTTCACAGTCTACACAGTGCATGTAATGTACTTTGGAGAGCTGAACAGTTAGTTTAACCATAAGAACACTATAGGAGATTTCTAGACACATTTGACGTTAGTCCTAATAGGTCTGCAAGTGTAAAAATATTTACGGCTAAGATGCTTCTTACTGCTGTGACAGGGAAGAAAGTTGTATAGCAAACAGCCTGTAAAAGTGGAAGAAGAATGCACGTTGTTTAGTCAGCATCAAAGTGGAGCACATATCACAAGGGGTTGCATGTGTCTTCCTCAAGGAAAAGCATGCCAAACTTCCCTCTCTCACCACTGAGTACCATAACTGAATATGCTACGCATATTAGCAAAGAGAATTTATTGAAAGAATATAACTGGCTGGTAGTAATTTATGTCAGATTTTGGCCCTAAGTCACAGTAATCTAAAATCTTTTACTGGCTCAGTGAAAACATCTTCTGCCTGCCCTGGTGTTCATGATGATTTCATGTCAAAGCAAGACTAGCAATGTGGACATCTAAATAACAACAGCTTTATGCTCTCTACTGTACAGAGAATCTTTACACTGATAAAGTGGAACCTTTACAGCTTATACCAGTGTACAAAGTACATGTTTTTCTTCACTGTACTATTGAGATTAAAAAAAAAATATCCTTCACTGTATAATTTTAAAAAACCACCACATAATCACATCATGATACTTCTTAAGAGCACATTAGTAATTTATAAAATTACCGTTTTTCCAGCCAACAGTAAGGAAAAAACTGATTTTGAAACTTATGATTTTAGTACATTGAGATGATACACATGTAGTAACAGGCTAAAAAAAATCTAAAGCATTCTCTACTGTTTTACCTCTTTGTCTGAATGATGTGTTTTGCTTTTGAAACGTGAAAAATGAGCATAACCCCAGCTTCATTTTCTCTATTAATTAACATCAAAAAGTTATTGTAGTATTTTTACTTGTTTGTTGTTTGGCTTGAGCAGCAAGGTGTATTGGTTTTAAATGGTTCTGAAATATGACACTTAATTTTTCAACAAAACAACCGAAAAGAGTTATCTGTCTCTACTTACAGTGACTCAATGGCTTCCAAATCAGTTTATTTCACAAGTAAAAGTGTGCTATTTTGTCCTAATTGTCAGAACCATAATCCATGATTTGAAATTTTAAGAGTATTCTTCTGAAGTTAATCAATATTTCCCCAACTTAAATTGATAGTTATATGCATATAAAATTGAAATTCTGTTACTGATACAGAAAATCTGTTTATCTTTCCTGAACAGACATTCCTGGAAGAAACTCCATTCCTGAGCTGCACCTCAGCTGCATTTTAGGGCAACCACCAGGTCTTCACCAGTGGGAAGCATGGGTGCCTGAGGAGCTGCTGAGTGCTGGAGGGTCCCTTAGTCTAGGCAGTCAGGGAGCTGGGACTCCACAGTGCTCTACAGAGAACTTGCCAGGCAGCTGAGACACAGCTATAGGCTTCAAAGTATTTTGTTGCCTACCCAAATCCTGCCACTCTTTTCATCCC